ATTCTTTGTGCTTCCCTTTTAAAAAAATAATAGGTTGGAGAACTTCTAAAGGACTGGAGACGTCTTAATGTTGCCATTACAAGAGCTAAGCATAAGTTGGTTATGCTGGGCTGTGTACCGTCCCTTTGTCTCTATCCTCCTCTAAAGAAATTACTTCATCATCTGAAGAATGAAGCTATGATATCCTTTCTTTTTATTTACATTTATTGTCTTTTTGGCCAGACTGCATAGATGAAGACTTTTCAGGCCTCCTAAATGAAGATGAAAATTTAATCAATGGTTAAATCTGGTCTGAAAGGACAAGGTTGCTTCTTTATCACTTTCATTTAAAGAAAATAAAACCAGATTTGGGAATCTCTTCTCAGAAAATTTGAAGTAAAGTGTGTTCTGATTAGGCAAAAATAAAAATATTTAGCTAAAAGGAACAATGGGACTCAGCTTTTGGATAGTATGGGAATTGTATCCCTTGTTTTTTGGTCTTGAAGCCTCAAAAGTAGATAAAGCGATTGTCTGTTTTGAATATTGTCTGCTATCTCCCTACACAAACCTTAGCTAAAAGGATAATGTTTTTTTAAAATCATCTCTCTGGAGCTGCTGGTGCTTTGGGAGGTGAGGGAAAAGTTAAGCTATTAGTCTAGCTAGCAGGAAGAATTTGAGAAAGACAAAATGCTCTACCAAATCAGTGTCCAAAATGTATGCAACACAGTGCTATCACATCACCTTCCCTGAGCACACTATTCTTAGGACACCACTGTAGTTGGTGAGCAAATGAGGAATTATTGCTGGGGAATTATTGCTGACCAAGTCATCCACCTAGCACAGAAATGGTTTGCTTTCCTTTTGCTTGCTAGGAGAGTGCAAAATGCCTGTGGAAGGAACCAAGAATGTCCCATTAACTAGAGAGTTTCCAGTATTACTTAGCGTAAGAGATGGGATGAAAGGTTGGGCAGCTGGCACGCTTATCAGTGATGTCTTAGATGCAGCACCAATTTTGGCTGTCACAAACCTGTGCTTAATTAACCCCACCTTCCCTCACTCCTGCCATCAACTACCTCCAGGGAATGGCAGTTGGGGCAAAAACTGCTTGCTGCTTCTAATACCATTTCCTTGCTTTTGTGGCTTGAAGGACGCATTATCCTGGTTGAGGATACCCCATTTGGAAGCGGAGTACTCACTCATGCACAAGACAAGACTTTGATAAGGGAAGATTGCATTTGCATTGAAATCCATCTTTCCATCTATGGAGGCAATTTTAGCATGGTCTGCTCATTCTTCCGGAGCCTTAAGCTCCAGGGACCGGTTCCATGGAGGGCAACTTTTCCACGGGGTGTTTTGCACACTGCCTGCATCCTGTGCGTATGCAAATGGGGCTTCATTTGCTTGCATGGCCCAGTTCCTGGTGGGCCTTGGGATGGTGCCAGTCCACAGTCTGCGGGTTGTGGACGTCTGTGTTAAATGTTACAGAAATTGGATTTAAATAGAAGGCGACCCTTAATAGAGATGGAAACACTGCAAATGCATTGATAACAGGAGTTAATATGGGGTTTATAATGATCTGAAAAGTATGCAGGCCAGGGTATTCTTACATGGGACTGAGTTTCTTAAACATATTGGCAGCAATAGATTGTGTTTCTTATGTGTCTTTTTTTAAATTGATGAGAATTTAACAGTTCTGAGAAGATGCTTCCTCTTTTGCTCCATGCTTCATTTTATAGGTAGTCCTCACTTACTGACTGCAGTTGGGGTTGGCACCTCTGTTGCTAAGTGACATAGTTGTAAATTGAAACACATGGCTGCTTCTGACTTATGATTGCAGTTTGTCACTTCTGGTTATGTTCTTTAAGTGCATCACCCACTGTTCTTAAGTGTGACATCATGTAGCTGTGACTTGCAACTTCCTGCTTCCCTATTGATTTTGCTTGTTAGGAGCCAGTTGTGAAGGTTGCAAATAATGATGATGGGTTGCTGTGACTGTCATAAATGCACACCAGTTTCCAAGTGCCTGAATGACAGTTACGTGACTGCAGGGACACCATAACTTTGAATGATCACTGAATTGGTCAGTTAGTGTGGATTACCTATATATGTAATGATTCAAACTATGGAATGGTGTAAGTCTTATACCTACATATTATATAGGTTAAGCATTAAAACCTGACACAATTTTCATAGTACTTGAACTAAAGACATGTTTTCCTTAATGTTTCTTACATTTTCAACATTCCTTTAGGAGCATGTGAACATGTTTTACATTGTAAACTCTTATGACAAACAAACACTGAGGGGAAAATCTTCACTATTATGAAGCTGATACACTGAATTCTGCCAGAAGGTGCTAAACTGGATTGTTCCAGCTTGTTTTACATACTAATGATGCCTTAAAAAACTCTTTGGGCATTTTAAAAATAGATCTTAAAGCATTATCACAGTATATCTATTTGTATTTTTCCCATTTTGAAAAACAATATGTAATTAAGTATTTTGAATTCCTTTTATTGAGATTTTGTGCTCACAAGTTGTGAGTAGCTTTAGCTTTTTATACAGAAATGTTAAAGTATGCAGGTTTCACTTCTCACTTTAGTTAAATATGAATTGATCTAAAACCTCTACTGTTAAAATTGGTTTGTTTGTAGTATGTCTTCCTCTATGTCATAACTATTCAAGAAATCTTCTAGATATTGTTGTCTCAAAGCCTGATGCCCACTTAAGAATGATCCCAGCCCTTGTTAAACATTCATTTTAAGAGAAATATTTATTTGGCACTGCAATGATGTAATTTTAGGAAGGATGTTTGAAATGCTCGTTTCTAATGTTAACATAATTTTGGGGGGGAAATAGAACTGTGCACCTCTAGTTCATTGCATGTTCTAATACCATTTTATTGAAGCAGTGTACGATTTCAATTTTATGTGTATGGAAATATATCCTACACTAAAGCTACCTCTTGGACGATATATTTAACTTTCCTTTGGATTTGATTGTTATATCAAGCTCCAAATTGCACTAAAATCAAATTCTTTTCTACGCATATTTTTGTGATATTTTTTACCTTGTGTATTGAGTTCTTATATTCTCATCTGTTTTTATAGTACCTGTAATAAAATTAATGTGACATAGGCATATACTTTTGCATTTATTGGTATATCTTATATTATAAATCTCATCTGCCATTAGACTATAAGCAGCCTTCCAAACATGGTTAAAAACAGCCACTCCTAATGAATGAAAACATACAATCTTTTTTGTAGCTAGGTAAGGGTTTTTTTTTGCCTCTCCTCTGAAATGGTTGAAGAAATGACCAATACAGATAAACACGAGTTGTTGGGCTAGCAAGTTATTTGGTGGGTGATTTTTAAACCCCTTTTAAACAAATATATCTTTATTGCATTCTCTCTTGGATGTCTTTTCAGGGACAGCATCCCAGTTGTGGGGGAGGCTGAATACCAAAAGTGACAGAGCCATAGTTTCCTAGATGTGGGGGACTCTACAGACAGTGATTTATGCCTTGGTCACCTCATAGCTTGATTACTGCAATGGACTCTATGTGGAGCTGCCCTTGAAGACTACCCAGAAGGTTCACCTGGTACAATTTAGCAATAATGGGCATAAACTGCACTGGCTGCTACCATAGTTTGCTTCCAGGTATGATTCAAGGCGCTGGTCACTACCTATAGTCTTTCCAAAGGATTTGAGGGATCACCTGTCTCCCATAGTGTCTGCCTAACAGGTTTGATCTGGCAGGGTTGGCACCCTACAAGTTTCATATCAGGATCCTGGAAGGACATCTTCACTTTAGCAAAACCTGCCCTCTAGGTGGAGGTCCTCCGAGATTCAAATGCCACCACCCTGGTGAGTTTTCCAGGCTTTTTATGAGGACAATCTTCCTTTTCTTCGTTCCCATTGTAGTTTGGTTTCTCTGCCATGTTTGTATTTCATTTAATAACTTTATTATTATTTCAGTTCATATAAATCTGTCTTTTCCCTTTTAAACCCATCTGCTCAATCTAAGATGTCCCCGCACTCCAGCACACAAAACTGAAAATTTTTATTAGAGTAAGAGAAACAACTAGTACAGGTTGCTGGTTGCTCTTTGTAGGCAGGGATCATTCAGAGATTCTCTGACAGGTATTTTGGGGTCTTGTTTGCACTGAAGAAAAGCACCAATAGAACATCAGTATACCTTTTTCTTGAAAAACAAGTACTGTTGCAGTTCATAAAACCAAACTATACTTTCTCTTCAGAACAATTTCCAAACACCCTGTTTTTGCTGGGCATTTCCTTTATTGCTTTTTGCAGTAATCCTGGTGGATAGAATCCACTCTAAAAAAACTGAACGCTGAGGAGAATTGGAATAAGGCGGCATCTCTGGCAATAAAACAAAACCCCAATAAAGGACAGAAGTCAGTTTTTAAAAAATGAATCTAAAGACTAGCTTTCTGAAATAAAGGACCTATATCCCTTGAAGCTACAGGAGAGACCAAACATCTGGTTGCTACAGACATGTGTACCTGACCAGGTCTTTGCCAAACACTTGCCGGGTTTTTTTTTCCTAAACGAAGTGTGTCATTGGGTTCGTGCGGAACCTATTTTTTAAAACACTGGTTTGGTTTGGCATCCTTGAAAGCAAGAAGGACGGGACCAGTTGCGGCTTGTGTTCTGCCAGTCGTGCCTTTTTTTTTAGGTTCAAAATCGGAGGCCCTAAAAGCGGCACCCGGTTGCGCCCGGGACCCGAACTCTTCCCGCGCCGGCTCCAGCGCCTTGCAATGCCGCGTCGGTCTTGGGCACGGCGCCATCTCGGTCCTCCGGCCGCGAGAGGCGCAGCGACCCAGGCTGAGGGAAAAAAACGGGAGGAGGAGGAGGCGGCGATGGGCGATGAAGAGGGCTGGAAAAGGGCCGTGAAAGCAGCCAAGGCTGGATCCGCGCTGAGCTGCTCGGGCAGCTGCTGCTCTTCGCCGGCCATGGGTAAGGCGCAAGGGGGGCGGCCGGGCTGGGCGGGGAGACGGGAGGGCTGAGGGGAGCCTTCTGGCTCGACCGGCATTCCCGAAGCGCCGGAGGCGGTGCTGCTCTTCTCCGCTTGGCTGAGGGGAGGAGGGGGGGGGGGCGGCAAAATGGCTGGAGAGGGGCTGCAACCGAGGCCGCCTTTCCAGCGACTGCTGGGTACCAACAGCCAGTCGGCCGCAGCAGGTACTTTTGCCTGGGCACCGTCAGCCCCTCGAAGCCGCGCGTGTCTCTCTGGGGTTGCGTGGCGTGGGTCGAAGTCCGCAGTCCTCTCGGAGACCGCCGGCAACGCCTGGCCAGCCGTCGGAGCCCTGCCCTTCTTCATTTCGCCCCGCGGGTTCCAGGCCAACCGGCCGGACCCGGGATTTCCCCGGGCGCGCGGTGTGTGTGTGTGTGTGTGTGTGTGTGTATGTGAGGTGTGTGTCGGGGGGAATCTTCCCTTCTGCCTCGCTTTCCTCGAGTGGTTCTCCCCGCAGCAGCAGGGACTTTGTGAGGCAAGCGAAAAAGCGGGGAGCCGGAGGCGTTTGCCGGGAGCTCGGAAGAAAGGCGGCTCCCCGCAGCCCCAGAAGTCGCTTTTGCTGGGCGGGGTGGTTCCCAAAGCCTGGGGCTCTTTGCAAAGAGCGGTGCGCCTCGTCGGTCGGCCCTCCTCGGCTTAAAACTCCCCCGGGAGAAAACGAGGCGGCTTTGAGCCGGTGAGGATGCTGATTTGAAGGAGGGGGCGGGGGGGGGGAGGTCTGTTTTTCTGTCCTCACCCACGACCGCAATTCTGGAGCCCAAATCAACGTGTTTTTAAGATCTGGCACGCCTGTCCTGCCAACAGGAAAACGATCTGATGCAGTGAGGACCAGCAGAGACGCTGGGCCAATTCATGGAGATTTGCTTATTGCTGGCTACACTTTTGGGTGGTTGTGATTGCCCCCTAAACCCAAGCAGAGTGCATTTAATTGCAAGTTGCTAGGGAATCATCATCCTTCCCTTGAGAGCTTCCAAAATCACATTTGGTGGATTACAGGGTGCCAAGCCTGGGTGGGAAAGAATATTCCCACCACCAGAGTCTCCTGTTCTGGCCAGGGTTATTTTCAGCAACAACAATGATAAGCATATTGGTGATAGCAGCAAATAGAAGAAGAAGAAGAAGAAGAAGAAGAAGAAGAAGAAGAAGAAGAAGAAG